GGTATATATTCGGTTAATACCATTGATCATCCCGTGTGGGGAGTGCGGGGCATTTCTGTTCTTAGTTCTATTGCTTTTCACATGTGCATGGACAGACAGTGACCATGGTGGGTATATATTTTAAATAAAAGCATTTATTCAATTTGTTGGAAATTCAACTATTCACGTCATGTACACAGAAAGACATAATATTGGTTGACTGAATTTTTTATGTTGTTCTAGGTTGTTTTAATATTATATAGATTTAGCTAGAGAGAAAATAAATGGAAACATAATTATTGCATTTACTTAAAAAGAAAGAATTAAAGGTGATGGAATGCTGTGCTTATTTCTGCCTTTTCATGTAACCTTAAACAGATAACTTTCAGCTAATAACTTCCCCTTTTCCATGCATGGAATGAGTGGTCTGAGGGGCCCATCTTCACTTAGAATGTAAATGCCAAGTGTGAGGAAGCAAATCGATGAGTATCACTTTCCTCCAACTTTTTTGCAGAGAACGTCATTTGTTTCTATCTGCATGGCTCATTCATATGTAATGTTTGCTTTTTATATTATTTTGTATAATTATGATGGGTTTCATAGAAAGAATGATGAAACCATTTCCTCAAAAAACAGTGTCACTGAATTCAAATGTGGTTAAAAACTTTAATCCCCATGAGCATAGATGATCAAGCAGTCAACAAACATTTACCGAGTAAGCAAACTACTTTGTTTAAAGATTTATGGAAGGTACTAAAAGACGCAGAGATACTTCAGACATGAATATTGCTCTCATTTCATTTATAATTGGAAAAGTGGGGCACAAACCTGAAAACCCAAATATTAATAAACCAATCCAGCACAGGCTAAGTTCTAAATGATTAGTGTAGATAGAAATAACTAGAAGGTAGAAAGAGAAGGGTTTGTATCCCAGCTTTGCCATTTGCTCCTTGTGTTATATCAGGTAAATTAATTTTGCTGAACCTCAGTTTTGTCTTCTATAAAATGGTTCCAGTAACAGCCATTTGTTAGGTTGTTGTGAGGTTTAGAAATCAGAGGCAATGATAAATCCCTGTCATTTAAGTAGCATTTATGTTATCACTACCTATTCTTTACTATGTAGGTGCTAGCTAAATACTAGCTATTGTGCTCGCTTTACATTTATTAGCTAATAAAGCCCTCACAATATTTTACAGATGAGGAGAGTAAGGTTTAGAGAGGAAAGGAATTTGACCGATGTGTCACAATTAGGAATCATATTTCAGGGTCAGGATTTGGACCTAGTTATCAACCCCAAAGCCAAACTCCTAATTAGGATAGACACCACCTTTCCTGGAGTACTTGGCTAGCCACTATGATTCAAATGATTTCATTGCTGTAAACCAGGAAGGTCAAGGACATCTTTGTGGAGGACAAGTAACTTGTCCTGGTCTTAGATAAAAAAAGATTGGAGTTAAATATGTTGTGATGAAAGAGAGGAGGACATTCTAAAGAGAACAAGAAATGCACATGAGGTTCCAGAGTGGATGCATGTTTTGGGCTGGGGGAGCAGTAAGCTCCTGCATGGTAGTGACAGAAGGAATGTGTACATGGATAGGCTGGTGTCAAACCACAGAGGTGACTGGATATGAGGCAAAGACACCCGCACTTTATTCTGTAAGGAATTGTGAGTCTTTGATGATTTTTAAGCCAATACATAAAGATAATGAAATAAAACAGACTTTCAATTGACCAATCAATAACTATTGGGAACGGATGTCATTCAGAGTGGCATTTTAAGAAGGTTATTCCAGCTTGTGAAGGATGAATTGGAGAAGAAAAGAAAACCTCTTAAAATGGTTGTTTTCAATAGCTATGTCATGACAGCTGGGAAAGGTGTCACAACTAACAAAACGCTAATAGTAAAGTATTGGTTTGCCAAAGATTAGCTGCTTTATACATTCGAGCAGATTCAAGGTCATACCTAGAATAATGTCACTCTCCTTCACTCAGATTTCATGTGCTTGCTTGAGAGGAGGAGAGATCTGGTGCAGACATTGGCAGGACCCTAGACATGTCCCTGGGAGTGCATTTCACTCCCCTTCACGTGTTTTGGCACAGAAAAGAAAAGCATGACAAAATTCTACATTAAAGGATTGTTGCAGTAGTCCAGGCAAAAGTGCACAGATCAAAAAGGTGTCAGGGGTCTGGAAATGAAACAGTAACTTTAAGAAATATCAGGGTGTTAATTGATAGTTATTGATAATTGAATGATTAAAAAGAAGGGAATTAAATGAGCCCTGAATGACTCAAAGATTTTCACATTTCACACTGGTGAGGGAATTTAGAGAAAGAGCTTGCTCTGAGGGTAAGTTCATGAGTTTGGTTATAGAACTTGTTGAGTTTTAAGCATGGGTTTTCCAAATGGAAAAACCCAGAGGGCAGTTTGAATAAGTAGAGATTGTCAGGAAGGTCAGAGTGGAAAAAAGTCTTTCTGAGTCATTCATTTCAAGGTGATGAAATATTGTCTATGTCCCACATTTAAATTTTTTTAAAAAGCTATTGTGTGGATTTCCTAACAGCAGAAGTTAACATGTATGAAGCACTTGCTATGTGCTAGGAACAGAACTCACCACAGCACATGCATCATTTATTCTTATGATACCCATTTTAAGATGAGAAACAGCCACAGAGAGGCAAAATAACTTGGTCAAGGTCACACAGGAAGCGGGTGGTGGGGCTGGGATTCAATCCCAGGCAGCCTGGTTCCAAACACTGAGCACTTTACCCTATCACACTCCACAATACAAGCACATGAATATAAAGCTCTTCCAAAGAGAAATACGTCATGTAAAAGTCACAGTCCAGTAAGAAATATTAACATAACTGGGCCACCCCTGTATACTCAGCCCCCCTCATTCAAGATATCTTAAGAATAAATCATACATATCAAACTACAAATGATATCCACTCACAGTAGCCACCTTCTCACTAAAGTGGTAAAAATAAACAACAACACTGATAGCCATTTATAGGTTTTAAAAAAATCTTTTTGTCTGGCCTTAATTTCTTTTGGAAGTGGTAAAAATAAACAACACTGATAGCCATTTATAGGTTTTAAAAAAATCTTTTTGTCTGGCCTTAATTTCTTTTTATCTTTCATTGTCTATGTTTTGCAGATTCCATTCAATAAGCCCCAAGCCCCCAATCCGGCTTTTACTGTGCTGAAATAGTTGCATCCTGTAACAGCGTCTTTATTTTTATTGGCAGAAAATTCTCAGTCCACTTATTCCCTTGTATAAAGTTAATTTTAACTATAGAACCTATATCAGTAATGTCATTTAAAGGAGGCTGCTTCCAATACGCTCTACGAAATGTCTGCAGAGAATTCGGGATTTACCAGGTTCAACTTCCCTCCTCCTTGCCGGGCCTTGCAGCTTCCTTTCCTGTCTACATCTGAGCACTCTCTGTTCTCTGGCCAGCTGCCTTCTGTTCAGCCCCTGTGTGTTCTCCTTTCTCTGCTCTGCCTTAATGATAAGTAGAGTTTCATCCTGAGCACATGGGGGGCGGGGGAGGGGGTGCTTCTTTATTTGGATCCAAGCAAAAAACATATCCTCCTATTGGCAAACCATGAAAAGTATGACACTTTGAGTCTAACAGGATTAAGCAATCCCTCCTTGGGTACAGCAGTGTGGCCAGTGTGGGGAAGAGGGTGTTATTCTACTTGGACCAATTCTTATTCTATATCTGCAGGCTTACACTGGAATTCCAAAATACAGGATGTTTAGGGTCCAGGGATATATTGTTGGGATATGCTGTAGTTGAAATAAAATGATTGAGTATTTTGTTGGGGTTTTTTTGTTTGTTTGTTTAGTTTTTCCAAAATGACAACCGTTGTAAGTAAAGCACATGGAATTTACATTCCAGTATTAGAATTGCTTAATTTCTAAGAGGTGAGTCAAAAGCTTGGGTGTCTCCTCTTCCTGCTGGCTTTCTACTGCTTTAGCTCAGGTTACCATGGAAAGCAAGCAGTCATTGTCAACCAGTAACTTAACTTATACCAAATACTTGACCTTGGAATCAGCAATTTACATCCTTGCAAAAGAGGTCACTTAGGGAATTTAACTGTGTAATCCTAGCCCCCATGTGGCAGGTGGTAGGAGAAGAGTAGAAATGGAACAAAGCTGGTGAGACACCATTGGAAACGATTTGAATTGGGAAATCGTTTCTTTCTGACTTTGTTTTAAAAATGGAACCTACTTTAAAATGGTACAGGAAGGCAGAAGGATGCAGTAAAAGTCTGTAGAAACAGTGACTCAAAAACTCTCTTTCAGGACTCAAGAAGGCAATCCTGTTGTCACAGTTGGAGGGAACCCAGAAGGAATTCAGGTTTTCACTTTCCTAATAGTCTCTTTTCCAACATCTTTCCTTCTAACATTATCCCCTCCCTTTTATTTTGCCTTTATCAATAAAACTAATGGAGAGAAACACCTTTCAAACTTGAACCAGGAAACACGAGTTTTGCAAGTGCTAATATTTTGGTGTGGGCTTTTTTCTTTCTTTTTTTTTTTTTTTTTTCAAGACAATTATCAAGAAGCAGCATTTGTTTCTTCTTTTGTTTACCCATGGCAGTTTGTCAGCAGTTATGATAAGTAGAGTTCCATCTGCCAGTAAAACTACATTGCAAATTGCCGTAGAAATTAGCAGCTTTCATTTTTGCCTACATAAATAAATATGCGAAATAAATTGCACATAAATGCATCCTAAAAAATCACAGGTACGCCGCACAGTTAAATGCCAATCAGACAAAACCAGAGACACATTGCGATTATCTCAGTTTTCAAACCTGGGAGATACACGAATGTGTTTCTAAATGAGAGAGGCAGTGTATCATGCTTGCTGAGATAAAAACAGAAGCTGCCAGACACTGCACTGTGGCTTTATTCTGAGAATCCTTTGCCTGAAACCCGCTCTATCTTTTCTTCGTGTTCTCTCTCTCTCTCCCCCCTTTCGCTCTCTCTCGCTCCTCGCTGTCTTTCCCTCGTTCATTGTTCTCTCTCCTCCGGCCTTTGATGCACACACGTTGTCACATTCCATCGACTCTCCTCTCTCCTCTTTTCTTACACGCAAGCCGAGCGCTGCCTTCGCCAGGCAGCAGCAGCCTCTCCTGCGAGTTTGAGGCATGTGTACAGCTCAGTTTGATGGAGCGTTCCTTTTCTGCCTTTTCACTCTTACAAAAGATTAAAAGGTGGCGTCACATTGCTCCCCTGTTCTTTCCCGCAGGAGGGACTTAAAAGGGACAACAAAAACTAATCACTTTCAATAAGCATTTTCTTGCTGGAAAAAAAAAAAAAGAAAAAGAAAGAAAGAAAAAAAGAGAGAGAAAGGCGGGGGGTGGACTTAGCGGTGTAATTTGAGACCGGTGGTGAGGATTGGAGCGAGCTAGAGATGCTGCACGCTGCTAACAAGGGAAGGAAGCCTTCAGCTGAGGCAGGTAAGAGCGCCGAGATCGGAGGGTTTGACCGAGTGGCTTAGTTAAATCTCTGTTTTCACCGTTTTGTAATTGAGAAAGGCATCTGCAGCAGCAGCCGATTTTTCAGTCGGCTTCCTTTTGTTTAACATGGAAAGTACCTGTATTAATTTTGATGAATTAGAGCATGCAGCAAATTCAATTGAAAATAGATTTGTATGGTAAATGCATTTGTACTGAGTGATTTCTCCTCCGTTTTATTTAAGGGGAGAGATGAGAAAGATGATTTTGATCAGAATAGCACTTTGCATTATGTTAAATTCTAAACAGCTAACGGAAAAAAAAAAAAAATCCATTTGATTCTGCTTTTGAACTCCGGGACTTTAAACCCTGGGAGACAGCTGGCATTTGAAATTTTTCTTCTAACTGAACTTCTGATGCGTTATAATTCTTTTTTTTTTTTTTTACCGGAGGTTTAAGCAAGGATAGAGTTTATTTAAGTCTGGCTGCTGGGGTTTATTTGGCTTGGATCTTGTGGGTGAAGTGCTTGTTATATCTCCTTAACCTGTGTCAGGTTGATGCTTCATAAATGGAGATTAAGTGTTGTCCCAAATGAAATATGAAGTTAAAACATCAGGCGAGGGCATGTTTTAGGAATGGACCCGGTAAATAATTAGGATAACTGAATTATGACAGTTTCAAACGGGAGTTAACTCTGGAGGTGCTGTTTGATAAACCTTTCTGGTTTGATTTGAAGCGGCTGAATAATGGAAGGGGCTAATTATCAGTCTCAGGTGGGAACTTTGCATTAGGACCTTAAATGTGGAATACATGTGGACTTCAACTGTAGGTGGCTTTTAGGAACATGTCCCTTTTGTGCGCTATGAACAGGAGTTCTGGTTTATGTTTGATGGTATTTCTCCTTTAAAGAGCTTTGGGATGATGCTTAAAAGGCTCTCATCTATTTTAACATTGAACGAACACAAAATGCAATACCTTCTAATCTCCCAGCACTTGATTTTTGTTCCTGTGGTGGTGGTTTTAAAGTTTTGATTATTTGTGTTTAATCTCAATCTTCGTTGATTTTGTGTTCTTTGCTTCTGCTACTAAAATTTATTGCTGGCATGAATGAACTGAGATTTCAGAATGAAAAAAAAATACCCTAATTAGTCAAGTTTTTTATTTAAGAATAATGGCAATCCAAATTATATCTAGGTTTTTACCTAGGATGTCACCTAATATGTTTCAGTTCATTTTTAAATGATTTTTTGGGGGGATGGGAAAATCTGGATATTAAAAGTACAAAATTCTGTTAAAAGAATGCTTCTCCGGAATGATAGATGGAACGGTGATTTCAATGCATGCATAAGGTTTGGCCCTGCAGAGAACTATGTACTATGGTATTGTGGAGTTGAGCAACCACGTACAAGAGGAAATTTTGTATATTTGTTGGGTGATGAGATTTTTTTTCCTTCCCGAGTTTCCAAACTGGACATCCTCAATACCTTACTCTGGCATGTCTCCTGTCTGCCAGACCGTCTAATGCATCTTGTGGGTGCAGCCCATGAATCCAATTTTATGAGGATATCAGTAACTGCTGAATATCAGGGAGTGGAAACCAAATGGACTATGGGTCTGATCATACTTCGTCATCCAGAGATAATCTCCAGCAGAAGTTCCTTGGGAAGTGCCCTGATACAGGTGTGAGGAAACTTAATTTTTCCTCATGGTTAAAAGAGCACAGAAAGATGTGGACAAGGGAAAAAGAAACTGCTGTAGAATGTTTGATGCAATCATGCTGGTGGTAGCATAGTGAGTTTTTAAAATCACAGCACATGTTTTCTCTTTTCAACTTAAGAAACTTTGCAGAATCTTAACGTAGCTTTTCTTAAATTCAGTCTCTTTTTCTATATCGCTTTCTTGCATGAAATCTTTTCTCTGACTCTAGCTATACCTAACTATCGAGGGCTGTTATTCTGCCACTGATAACGATGATTATTTCTCAAGTAAGTGGCAAGTGTTGAAAAGACGGGCCAGGAGAAATATGTTGTCTGTATCAAACGTGCCTCTTACTTCTATTTATGAAAATGACTTCTTCAAGGTGAGGCAATGATAAATTTGAAGTTGCTGCCTGGCTGTTTGCGTCACTGAACCACTATCCTTCTCCTAGAGAACAAAATGGAACTAAAGTAAGCAGAAATAATTTCATTGTAAACTGGATGGGAGTTCAGCATGCACTTTTTAGGCAGATGGTAATCAAAGATATCCTTACTCAAACTGTCTGATTCATATAAATAGCATTTTTCTGACTTTTCCAGTAGATGTTGCTGAAGAGCAAAGAAAAGATCATATTTTTACAGAAAAAAAAATGCAGCAGACTTATAAAAACCAAGGAAAAATATCTTTCTCTCCAAACTCTGCTGATAGCATTTTGCATAATTTGCTAATTAATGAATTATATTGAATCATTACCTTTTATGATGTTCTATAGAAACCTATTAAAACTTGAGTTAGATTTTAAAATTATGAGATTGTTCTCTTTAGTCCCTATATATAATATCTGTTTGCTGTTTTCTGTTTTTAAAAAATCAAGTTAACTGCACATTACTATTCAGAACATTTCATCCCTGAATGCTAAAACCCTTTAACATGCAAATATGATGTCAGAGGAAGAACTGAAATAGAATACCCTGAGAAGAGTAATGATCAAACGCATTATAAAAATATGCACCAGTTGCCAACATGTAATGAAATATTAAGAAATTAAAAGCATGCAACCTCTAAAGTAATAGAATTTCATTGCTCTGAGACTGTTTTCCCACTGAATATTAAGTGCTTAATAGATCTACCCATAAAAAACAATCGAAAACCTACATGGTTTGTCACTGAAGTTCCTTCATTACATGATTTTGAAAAATTAGCCCAATAGGATTTTCTTCAGAATAGAAAATATAATTAACATTGGATATTAAGTGCCAGATTTCCAAAGCAAAAGCCACAAGGCTTGATGGAGAAAATAGAAATGCAGAGAGCAAACATAAGCGCTAGAGGCTGAGGGGAACCACGCTGGAACTACTCTGCTGGTAATCACTCTGATAAAATGACAAAGACGTCCCAGAGGAGCCCAGGATTCTAGTACCCAGACACACACTGATGCAATTTCAGGCAACCAGTGGCCTCTATCTATGGGAATATTTATTTTTGGAAATGATCGATTAACTGATTTTAATTGTGAAAGAAAAATGTATGTATTTTTCCCAATGTGAGGGGCCATTGGGTTTTACAAAGGCACTCACACATAGGACAAGCGCCCACCCTATGTGGGAGAGCTTTTGGTTTTTTCTTACCTTAAGCAGACCAAGGTCCTTGCTGATGGATTTTTCTTTTGCATTGAAGCACTTCTTTGTCAGTTTTCATTCCTGAGGTGTGAAATGCTCCATAGGATGTTTTGATTTAACACCCATTCATTTCTCTTTTCTGGAAGGAAAAAGCTTACATTTAGAAGACATGAGTGTCAGTACTTCTCTTTTGTAATTAGCACTGTAAGTCCACTGGGGTAAGAATGTTCCAGTTTTATTTTTTTATTTTTTGCTTTGATTCAAATACCTTTTTTGTATTTGACCCATAGCATGTGTGTGTGTGTTTAACTGTTTTTAAATAAGAAAATCTTTACAATTTGACAGGAGATGTTACTTTCTAGTTCTGGTTAGTTTACTGTCTCTTACTGTCTTTTTTTAATAGTAGCTATCAAGCACCAACTATATACAAAGCACCGCGAGTTAAATGTGCCAGTGGTACACCTAACAATAAGAAATGTCTTTCTTCTCACTGAGAATCTTATGAGGATAGAAAAGATGAATTTTACCTGGAGAACCGCCTACTGGACTATGTTCCGGGTCCTAACTCCCTCCCTAAGGAGAGCAGCAGAGGAAAGGTCACTGCTGGTTGAGAGGATCTTGAGGATGATAGCTTTTGAAGTAGGAGTGGAAGGTGAAAACACAAAATTATCCTGATCAGCAAAATCAAAGGGGTCCTAGAGGAAGCAGTGCCAAAAAGAATGACTGAAGCTGGTACAATGGAGGCCTTAATGGCAAATCAGGTATCTGATAGCCACTGGAAAGATGTGATCTGGCAGCTTTTAAAGGAGTTGAGACTTGGCATGGCAATGGGGAGGGAGTGGAACAGTGGGTCCACACACCCTCCCCAAGTGATTCTGAAAAACTGTCAAGGGGATGTTTATTCTCCCATTAAATTGTAGCATTAAGGAGCTATTGCTACTAGTAGAATATTGCTTTATCCTTTAGGGATGTTGTTGGGAAAATGGTGGGAACTCCTAGTCTAGAGTCTGGAAGCTAGTGAATGATCTGGTGCATTAGTTTAGACGTAGGTGGTAAGGTTGAGAAATGTTACCTGTTGAGAGGAGACAGTGGTGTTGAGAAACACCTTCCTATTATAATTATTGCAATTTCTTATATGTACTGTAGATGTTATGGCCTCATTAGGCAGGGATTTTGTGTACAGGCATTTGTTTTCATGTTTTCATAAGAAAAACCTTCACCATTTGTCAGATATGAGACCTGTGGTTTAGACGGTGTGGTGTTCCCTTCATGCTATTTGGGTACAATCAATTAGCATTATGTTTCCTGACGTTGATTATGACATGACTGTTGAGGGTTTTCATCTCTCTGAAAAGGTATATACTTTATTTATTGGAATTAATTGCCTCCCTAAGTTGCCTGTGTTGTCAGTTACTTTCTATAAACCTTGACTAACTTACCTTGAACTCTTCAATGTCTAGTGTAATTGACTGGCAATCTCAGCTGTGGATACTACTCTAACTATGCAATCGAAGTTTATAAGTAAGCATATAAGATGTTCTCTTGCATTCAATAGACTTTACAATGAGAAGGAGCAAAAATAATTAGTAGTACGATTAAGTAAGTTGAGTGCCACGCTTTTCCTTAGAAACCTGATTTTACCAGCCTATTCAGGTGGACAGGGTCACCAACATCATCCTGGAGCCA